TGCTCCTGTCTGTGTGTGGAAGACAGAATGCATAGTACATTAGAAGGTGAGGCTCGGCTGGTCGGGAAATTCCACAGTCATTCTCCATTAGAAATAAATGCATATGAATGTTTAGCTTAAGTAGAAGGTCCCTGTTGACTCTGGTTATGTTATATAAGAAAAGGGGATATTTTTCAGGAGAAGAGCCTAGTCACTTACATGGCATTAGAAATAATATCTGAGGTCCACGAACCCCATCAATACCACACAAAGAACACATGAACCAAAAAGTAACTCAGCAAGGTGGATTTTACTTTTGCAAAAGGGTATCTTATGTGGTCAGTCAGATCCAGCAAGCACACAGGACCAAGAGGCTTGGTGGACTTTTATCCCTAATGGAACAGGATTGTCTTTTCCCCATTGGCTGGGGTCCAACCTCATAGTCTTTCTGGATTAGCTAAGTTGGCTACTTTAAAAGAGTCTATGCAAGGGAGAAGAGCTCTACTGACCCAGGCCATCTGGCTCAGGAATTCATCAGGGCCTTTCCTTAAAAGTTTTACAGGATGTGGTGGGATTAAGGGTTTAGACTTCCTTATCATAAACCAAGTTCCAAGCTTTACAGGGTTTGGAAGACTAATATTTAATGTTTCTTAGTATCGGTTAAGCTGCTATTTTAGGGGCTGCTTATTGGAGAAGTGCCCTGGTGCCTTGGCCCAGAGATCATTTTAGGTTGCTGGTTGCCATGGAGCTGCTGCAATTGGAAGGCCACTAATCTGGAAGGCTTTGTTTCTGATCTTGTTGGGAAGGTCCTCTGGAACATTATTCTGTCATTGCTAGCTCAACGCTTCTGAGGCCTCCAATCTCATTTTTTGTTTTTCTTCTCCCTTCCCTCCCTTCTTGCCCCCCTCCTTTCTTCCTTTCATTTTACTTCTTTGAGCCAAGGTCTCACTGTAGCCCAGGCTGGTGCTTCAGATTCCTCTAGGTCCTAGGATTAGTTATCCTTTGTCTTTATATGAGACTGCTGGTCTTAGAAGAGAGCCCCTGTACTAAAGGGCAGCTGTGGCTGGCCTAGTTGTACCATCGCTCTTGGAGGATCCAGAATGCCTCAAGAAAAGCGTTTCCCAGTGAAAAGTCAGGAGCCAACTTATCTTTCTTTAGCCTGCAGGTCTGGATAATAGACTAATCAGTATTGGTGGGATGCACTTTAGTAATGACTTTTAAGAAGTTTGCCCTTCAGTGGACCAGATGGCGCTTAGTATGTTCACTGCCATTATTCTCAATAGGCTAGCCCCATCTTCTTTTTACGTCTGTGCATTCCCAGGACCTGCCAGCATGTGTGTTAGTTAGTAGAAGTCAGGTATCTTGAGGTCATAGGTCCTAGTTAAGATCCTGAATTTTTTTTTTTTTTAAAGATGGGGTCTTGCTCTGTGGCCTAGGCTATACCCACACTCTTGATTTTCCTGCCCTAGCATCCTGAGTACTGTGATTACACAAATGTACCAACAAACCAGCCTTGTGAGTATGTGGTGTTGGATACTGAACCCAGGGCCTTGTGCATGTTAGTTGCTCTACCAACTCCCACAAGCTGTCCTCTGACTTCCACACCCAAGCTCTGGTATATCCATGTGCCCATACGTACATGTATACACACACTAAATATATGTAAAAAAAGATGTAGCTCAGTGGTAGAGCTAGAGGTACCTGTTCAGAAATTGAATTCATAGTCACACATTCTAAAAAGAAATAAATCAGAAGCTCCCTGAAGATTATAATAGAAAAAAAGTTATTTGTTAGAACATTGAGTTGAGTAATACTGTTAACATCTCTCCCCACTGGAAGCCTCAGGGAATTGCTGCTTCAGGCATCATCAAGGGGGTGGTTGAAGGAAGGTGACTTTTCAAGATTCTCTTGCAGTGCATTTTGACTTATAGGTTGCAGTATAACACTAAGTTCAGGCATCTGTAACTTTGTAACTTTTAAGAGTAGAGTTGACTGTTTTCAGAAGGGTGCAATTGTAGTTTTGCTTTTTTTTTAAAGATACGATTGGAAATTATATTTGTTTCATACTTTAAAAAGCATTCTGTGCAGGGGTGGGGTTGCTTTCAAAGGAGGAGTGATAGAATGCAGTGATATAAAACCTGAAAGGGGAATAAGGGATTGGTTAAATGGAGTTGGGGGATGGGGAGCAGGGTAGAGTAGGACGTATGGGGAGAGATAACTAACACTAAAGGCCTTTTGAAAGCATCATATGGAAACCTGTAGAAGCTTCTTAAAACTACGTATACAATATATGATGAGTTTAAGTGGAGTTATCCTCTAATAGGGGGATAGAGTGCCTCCTATCAGACACCACAGGCTAGCAAATAAAAAGTCCAGTGCCAGGAATACCTCTTTGGAGTTTGCCAAGGGGTTTCCACAGACTCCCAAACATTACTGGCTATTGTCCTTGCTCTTGTTACCCGCTTACCCACAGAACTTGACAGTAAGAGCCTATTGCAGAAGACATACTTGAGTTGATGTTCACCAAGAAATCAAGCTGGTACTGACCTCAAAGCTTCATTCCTACTGACTAGCTTTCATAGTGCCAGAGATGCTAAGCATGCTGCCAGAAGAGACGGGTAATCATCAGTCTTACCCAGCTTTGAACTCTGAGAGCTATAATAATGACTGGTGTGGCAAGATAGGCTCACTGGTGCAACAGTCACACAAATGTTAGGGGAATAATCTGATTGGATTTAAGGCCCACTTCACAGGATGGAATCCATGCCCGGCACTGTTACTGTGGCCAAGAATGTATGACTAGACAGGTCATAGATCCTAGGGGAGATCCTACTACTACTATTCTGCTAAATGGATAATATTAAACTGACTCTTAATGGCTTATTGTTATACCCATATATTAATGCATCTCAACTCTCACCAGAGAAGTGATGAATACGGAGACCCTTTCTCTGCATGGTCAACATGCAGAGTCAGACTGTGGTGTGCTTAGCCCTAAATGGGACATCTATGTCACTCCTCCTCAGGGCTCAGGGATTGTCCTGGAAGAGGGCGTAGAAAGAGTGTAAGAGCCAGAGGTTGTAGATGACTATAATGAAACTGTTTTCAGGACACAAGAGGGCAGGTGCACTCACCGAGGTTGTGATAGAATGCACAAGACCTGTGCTGTGCAAGAGTAAGCCAAATAGAATCTCAGCATGCTGAGGAACTATTGGCAGTTGATATCTGCTGGGAGGGGGAAAGTCAGTTTTCTTTAAGAATGTGACCCCTGGGTGGCACAAAGAGCACTGGCTGTTTCTGCAGAGGACCTGGGTTCGATTCCTAGCACCCACATGGTGGCTAACAACCATCTGTAACTCCAGTTCCAGGGGAATTTGACATCTTCTTCTGACCTCCACGGGCGTTGCACGAATGGGTGCACTTACACAGGTGCAGGTCATACACTCATACAGTAAAAAAAAAAAAAGTGACCCCTGGTAGGTTGCCCATGCTTCAAGAGATGGACCCATACTGAAGAATATTTGGGCAACAAAAATTGGAGAAGGGTTTTACAAAAAGAAAGGGGACCTAAAGTTAGGGGTGGGGGTATGGAGGTGGGGGTGGATTTGAGAGGAGATGGGGAAGGGGTTGAGTATGCTCAAAATACATTGTATGAAATTCTCTAGGAATTAGTAAGTTTTAAAGGCATGGTGCTTTATCATGAAAAGTGGGTATTAAGAAGAGTGGGATGACCGTCTGGTCTAAAAATGTTTGATTTTTAGTGGCTGCAGGAACACTGCCTGGCCTTCCAGTTGGCAGCTGGCCAGTCCTGCCACCAGCTGTTAACTGTAGTCAGCTGTTTTGGAACATGAATAGTGTAGGAGTATAGGGTATTGCGTTCAGAACTTCACTAGATTTTTAGGAAGACCAAGTATAAATAAGAGATAAATGTCTCATGCTTTGGGATAGCTAGTCTTTGCTAAAGAAACTTACCTCCCCTCAGGGGCTAGAGAGATGGCTCAGCAGTTAAGAACACTGGCTGTTTTGCAGAAGGCCCGGGTTCAAATCCCAGCACTCACATGGCAGTTAACAACTGCCTGTAACTCCAGTTCCAGGGGATCTGACAGCCTCTTCTGTCCTCCACGGGCATTGCATGACATGGGTGCACTTACCTACATGTAGGCAATACACGTGTACACATAAAATAAAATAAAAATAAGTAAATATTAAAAAAACTTACCTCCTCAAAATTTCTTTTCATTAATACTGATACAGAAAGAAGCATATATAATCACAAAATTATGAAAGAAAACCTGAACAGAACTTGCTTTGACTTCTTTGTCACAAATGTCTATTTTATGGAGGATCTTCTATTTACTGTGTATATGTTTCCCTAGGAAACTACATCTTAGCATTCTTAATTGATATTGACATTCTGAAAGAGAAGATGCCTAGATGTGTGACCCTCTGGCAGGATGCGCTGTGGGTATCAGTTCTGTGTACTGTTTTCAGCTACTGTTCTGGATAATTTTTTTTTTTAAACCGTGTATGTGTTGCCTGCATGTACATGAGTGCACCCTTGTGGAATGCCCTCGCAGGACAGAAGAGGGTGTCAGAGCCCCTAGAACTAGAGTTAAGGATGCTTGTTAGCTGCCATGTGTGTCTTAGATTTGAGCCTGGGTTCTCTAGAAGAGCAGCCAGTGCTCTTTACCACCGAGCCATCTCTCCAGCCCTTGTAATAAGAACTTTTATAAACTGATTATATATGAGATGGATCATAGCTGGTGCTAAAATGTTTTCTTGTATTATGTTTTGTTTTGATAACTTGAATTTTGGTAGAGCTTTTGAGCCATTAGTAGGTAAGAGCAGAAATAAATGAAAATCATTCCTGTAGTCCAATTGTATTGATAACTGAGGTGTAATTGATATCTCAGAGTTCTAAACTGTTGTTCTGGACATTTAAAACATAAACTTTTGTTATAATACAAGAACAGACTCTAATGGGAAGAGATTATTTTACATTTGCGTTTTCTTTCTTACAGGAAGGAGCTTGAAGCCTTCAAAGGTAATTCTGTGTTTAATTCTTCCCTTTAAAGAAGTTAAGAGTTAATTGATGTCAGATGTTCTATCTTGGTGATTAAAAAAAACTACTTCCCTTTTCTTTACATCAGAAAGCAGAAGTCTGCTTAATACTGTTTTAAGTTTTATTTAATTACAAGGAAGTGTGATGCTTTCAACTATGGTACATGTAGGAAGTAAGAGCTTGTTGGTGACTGTCTAATCACCATCATGGGGAGTCTGTAATGCAGGCATAGAGCCAGCTCTGAGGTTGTTGAGAATCATGGTTTCTGCTGTGCAGAGCCCAGGTCACCGGGAGAGGGGCTGGTGCAGAAGCTCAGAATGCGCCTCACAGTCTCTTCAACCTCCACAAAATTTTCTTTGGCAGAGTCGGTCTTGCTCTCATACTGTTTTGTGACTTCGATTAGTCTTTCCCCTTTTTCAGACTCATTCTCCCTGTAAATTTAGAGACTTAGATTTATAAATTTTAGAGATGATACATATTCTGAGGTTCAAAAGGCCACCTAGCATTGCCTTTTTATTTTAGGGGAGCTTTTGAAGGCAGAACATTGGAGCATAATTCTCAGTCCCACTTGATAATGGAGAAGCCGTAGTATAAAAAGACACCCACAAACTTGGTGGCAACCCAATGCCCTTTCAGTTTGTGGTTTTCAGTTCATCACCACTTTCATAGAAATGACTGTCTCAGACTCATTTCGAGAACTAAAAGGGCTTAAATCATTAAATATCTTCTGATTTGTTTTGTGTATATTATATTTCACATAAATTAGCATTGACCTTTAGATTTGTCGAGTGATTGAAGATTTTCCATTATCTCATTTATACTTGGAATTATCCATGTGTTTGCATGTTTCAGGAGAATCACTAGTCCTCAAGATAAAAGGTGTAAAGCCTTATTTGTACTGTAGCCGTAATTGAACAGACTTATTCTGTCTAAATTTCTATTTGACTCACTGCAGAGATTAAATGGTAAATGATTAAGTTCATGACCAGTTGTTGAAGGTAATGTTACACAATGGTGTGATGTAATGTATTACCGTGGCTTACATTGTTCTTATTTAATTGTGATACCTATTCACGAACATTTATTTTTCATCATTTGTTTGAAACAGAACTTGAAGTCCTCATGGAATGCTAATTTGCCTCTTCTTTCTTTCGACGAGTCTAGCATTTCTCAGACAGTGTTAAGAGATGGGGGGAAAAACAAGTTAATATTAAAAGACAGGCAGGGACACACATTATGTAAAGTGTCAGCTTTACTTGCACTTCAGTGCTGGAGCATTTTTTTTTTTTAGTTATGTCATTGTTCACAGAGATCAGCAGTTTGCAAAAGGTTAGATACTGTTGCATATTTCTTGATAGAATAATTCTATTTAGGCTGAAATAGCTTCTTTATATACACATCCCTAGTTATGTACAACATTTAACAACACGTCAGGTCCACCCACAGGACAATTTAAGCGCTTGAATTTGAGCAAAACTTACATTGAATATGACATCATATCTAGATTTTTGGTTATCAGCATTCATTAAAAATTGTTTGGTCTTGTGCTGCTCAGTGGCATGTGCCTGTATTCCTGTGAACTCAAGAGGTAGGGGAGTCACTTGAGCTCAGGAATACCAGCCTGAGAGAAAATAGGGAGATCCTTTCTTGAGAGAAGGGCAGGGAAGGAAACAAAGTTTCCTTTGAGTGTTTTGATATTTTGGAAGTTCCAGAAGCCTGAGGCAAGAAAGCTAGGAAACTAACCATTTCCAAATTATTAATGGAAAAAATATTTTAAAATCCATTCAAATATATTATAGTTTGTTTAGATTTACCCTTATTTTTCATTTATTTATTTATTTGTTTGTTTGTTAGTTTTTTGGTCTTTATGAGTCAGGGTCTCCCTGTAGCCCCAGCTGGCCTGGAACTCCCTATGTAGACCAGAATGGCCTGGAACTCACAGAGATCCACGTGCCTCTGCCTCCTGAGTGCTGGGATTAAAGGCCACCATGTCCTGCCGTTATTTTTCCTTTTTAGAACGTAGGAAAGCAGAACGTTTTACTTTGTTCACTTGCTTTATTCAACTTGTAGTTTACTTGGAAGCCTTTTTCTAAATTGGAAATAGTGATTTAGGGGGAATCAAAACAAAAATTAGAAACCACCAGAGTAATACAGGTCACTGTTGTCTACCAAGTCCTAGTCTCTCTCTTGGATTCCTGGAGGCTAATGAGTTAAATCCCCCTTTCATTTCTGTGGCGTGAGGCAAAGCTCTACAGTGGTATGAAACTAGTTGTTTTAATGTTGCTAGTGGGAAGAATTTCTACATTGCTCAAATACTTTTTCCTTTAATCTTGGTGACGGTAATGTAGTCTTTTGAATATTTTAGACAGTAGAGAAAGAACTATAGGATTTTTTTACAGGGGTGAGAATGTTCAAGGTCCAAGGAATTCCCCAAATTGACCACTCAGATACTGAGTCTCAGTAAAAAGGAGTGCTTTATTGGAGCCAACCAGTTGGGGACACAGTCTTGGGAGCTGTACTGTGACCCTGAGCAGTGAAAACGCAGGGCTTTTAAGCAGAAAAACCACAAAAACCACAAAGCAGGGATGTCCATAGAAACTATACACAGAATAACCAGGAAGGGATGGGAGCAAACTAGGACTGATTTCCAGAGACTTTACCTATACAGCCATTGGCTGTCTTACCTGGGGCAGAACGTTCTTTCTCTTCTGCCCCAGATTATTCCCATAGAAACCATACACAGATGTGTCAGGTATGCTGCCATTGGCTAGCTTACCTGGGGCAGAACATTCTATCTCTTCTGCCCCAGACCATTTCCATAGAAATCATAAACAGATACCAGGAAAGGGTTTGAACAATGAAGGGGATTTCTAGAGTCAGAGGATAGGGAGGGGGTCTGAGGGGCACTCTCCTTCAAGAACTGTTTTGGGGGACTGAACCACTTGCCTTCTGGGTGCTGGAAAAGTGTTCTGCTGTTTAGCTCTACCCTATCCTTTTGCATTTATTTTAAGACTCTTGCTAAACTGGTTAGACTGGCCTCAAATTTGTGATCCTCCAGTGTCAACTTTGAGTAGCTGGGATATGCCATCACAACCAGCAAGAATAGGATCTTAAAAGTACTAATTTTAGGGGCCAGTTAGATGGCCCAGCAAGTAAAGGTACTTGTAGCTGTACCTGATGACCTGAGAGGACTGATCCCTGGAACCCAGGTGGTAGACGTAGAGAGCAATGCCCCCTGTTGTCTTCTGACTTCGACATGCCCCTGCCCTCAGAGACACAATAAAAACAAAAGAGTGCTAATTTTATGCTTTTATTGGGGAAAGAACCCCATCATTGTATATGTATGTAAATACATTAACAGTTCTTACACCTGGGAAATTTGCCATAAATAGACACTTCTGTTATTTGAGGATTATTAACCACTATTTTTTTTTGTTTACTTACTTAGAGACATGATCCTACTATATAGCCCTAGCTGGTCTAGAACTCACTGGACCAGGCTGGTCTCAAACTGACAGAGATCCACCTGTCACTGCCTCCCAGGTGCTAGGATTAATGGCATGGGCCTTCATACCTGGCTTCTTAAGATTTTTGTTTTTTTAAGTCTGACAATGTTGTGTCACTGGAGAGGGTGGAGGTAAAGAGATTTCAGAGTTGGATATTATTCCTACCTCTGTAAGATTCGTGATTTATTGTGGCTTTAATATATTGCACTTGTTTCTTTACCTTCAGATTAAGTTCCTTGCCAAAACAACCACCATTTTTAATTTTCTCTGGAAAATATGTCAGCTGATACCTATAGCTTGTTGAGTGCTTATGGGAAGTCACTGACCATTTCTTTCCAAATACTTATTTCTATAAACTGAATTAAATACTTAGCTGAGGAAAGTGGTATCAGCTCACAAACTACTCGTGCTGGATATTGCTGCAATATTGTTAAATATTAGGTAAGATGGTGAAACCTCACTGCTAATGAGAATTACAATGCAGTAGGGTTGTAACTCTATGGAAGACAATATTGGTAAATAGCTTTTAAAGTCTGCCATAAGCAGCACAGTTAAGAATTAGGAAAGATTTGGGGGAAAAGGTGCTGTATGAACTGTGTCAGACATCCTTTATTTCTGCTGTTCTAAAAATAGACTGAAGCCGGGTATGGTGGCGCACGCCTTTAATCCCAGCACTCAGGAGGCAGAGGCAGAGGCAGGCAGATCTCTGTGAGTTCAAGGCCAGCCTGGTCTACATAGTGAGTTCCAGGATATCTGGGGCTACAGGGAGACCCTGTCTCAAAAAGACCAAAAAAAAAAAAAAAAAAAAAAAGACTGAAATTTTCATCTGATGTTGTATGGGTAGTTTATGCAAAGATTTACAGTCAGTAGACCTATGCTTAAATAATTTATTAAAACGATGGTTATATTTTAAATTAAAATATTTGTATATGTATTTTGATAGATTTCTGCCTTCTTTTAAAAAAATCGAATAGCCAAGAAGAAATCCTATTTTGTCTGTTGTAGTCTGCTACCTATCATAAAACACTGTCAGAAATATGACCTATAGAGTGAAAACATACCAGGATTTAGTTGTCATTATCACAGTGATGTGATCATCAAGAGCATGTGTAGTGAGGCCAAGCCTGTTTACTCTGATCACTTTTTAAGGTTTTGCTCTGGAAAACAGAGCTATTGGAACAGACAGGACCAAAGTATTCTGAGAAATGAAGAACCACAGTGACATAGTGACAGTCTCAGGTATGAGAAAGTTTAAAGAAAGAGAAATGATTATGTTGATAGAAGCTTTGCAACATTGAGAAGAATGGGGAGATCTCATTGGACTTAGCAATGAGAAGGTGACTGGTGGCCTGGGAGAGCTGGCTGAAGGGAGAATTGATGGAAAGTCAGAAGGAATAAAGAAATAATGGTCCGTGAATGGAAAGAAATGAAGCTATATCTTCATTAGGATTAAGGATCAAGGCCGAGAGGTGAGAT